GTTTGAATGTCCGATCATGGGGGTACCAAGCAACACTACCATTCACTACCAAAGTCAAAATTCAACTGACGCATCTGATGATCTGTCCGCTCCGTCCCAATACTTATTAGGAGAGTCGGAGCGTTAAATCAAACCATAAGAATCAAACCTTACAATATGATTTAAAATTCACATTCAACATTTTTAAAAATCTTAAAGAAAAGTTTTTAAAGAAAAAGCACGTTTTGTTTGTTATAACGTGTGTTTAAAATCAAAAGATAAGATTGCTTTGTACTGGTCTTTAAATGCATAAAAACCGGTGGAAAATACTGGGTTAACCCTATCCCTGCTGGGGTACTTAAAAACCAGGATACGCTGGGAGGGGGTCAATTTGACCCCCCCCCCCTCTAAATCCCATGTTTTATGTCCAATTTTTTTTAATTCGGTGGTGGACCAAACCTCTGTAGAGTTAAAAAAGTAGATGTTAGTTTCACATTTATTAAAAATATATTTCGGTCTGGGTTGTTGTTATTTCTTGAGATTGTTTCTGTCACAAAGATTAAACGCAACATTAACGGTAAACTAAAGTATATTGCACGTATATGATTGATATCTTATATATTTTCAATCAAAACTCATCTTATTTAAGATCTTTCAAGACGAACACAAATTCTGATAACTAACCAGATGAATTTGCATTTCTAATTCTTTTGTGTAAGATCAAATCTGTAGGAGCTACGAGATGACAAAGTCGTACAAGCAATGTCAGAGTTTGTGGCAAAGACTCAATTATTTTATCAAGTTTTAAATCGTCTATAGTTTTATATTTGTGCAATAATAAAAGTACTATAAAAGAATGTTATGCTTATAAAATCAGGAATTGTTTTATGTTCCATTATTCCTTTTTTCTAGATTATTTGGAACCGTGCTAACTACTGTATTAATTACTCTGGTTGTGGTTCTCAAACTCCTCTAATGATTTAGAAACCACCTTCACTCCCCCTGGTCCTGTGGTTTTTTTTTCTAAACGTACTTATCATTTGCCTCATACTCAAATGGTCTAAATCTGTGCAACCTAATGTTGTATACATTAGATATTTCAACTTTGAATTTTACTCTAGTTTTGAAATATCAAAAAAGCACTGCGGAAGCAATGATTGTTAAATTGACTACCTTGAGTAAGAATTTACTCTGTAGTGTTAAATTGACTACGCTAAGTAAGAATTTACTCTGGACCGTGTAAAACTGACGATGCTATCCCGTTTGAACTATTGTTTGTTTGAACTACTGCACGTGGTACCACGGAGGGAGAAGATCCAGAGTTCCTCAAATAGTAATCACCGCCACCCAAATCTGTTTTGCGGCAAGCGCGCTCCTCAATTGGTAATCTCCACCACCTCAATTGTTTTCTGTGATTTGAATTTAATGCACTTTAACACAATTTTCGACATCTATCGGGGTTTCATGGCATTTGTATTGACTTAAACTAAATTTTCAAATTATTTTCAGATTTGTTTGGTCAACAAAAACTGAGAATCAAGGCACAGTTCATTTTAGCCGAATATTAGATCCAATTCGCCACTTTAATGACTGCATTTCATGATTGGCGTCAAGATACTATAAGGTCGGGCTGCCTGTTTACTAAAAATTATCTCATCCCACGCAAAGTAATATCCATCTCCATTTAAAAGATATTTTCAAAAAACCTTTACAGTGTTTAGATTTTTGTATTCGCCAACTCGAGTTCAACATCTACAACAAAACTAATTATATGCATAGAAAGTACTTAAAATTTACTAAAAATTATCTCATCCCACGCAAAGTAATATCCATCTCCATTTAAAAGATATTTTCAAAAACCTTTACAGCGTTTAGATTTTTGAATTCCCCCTACTCGAGTTCAACATCTACAACAAAGCTAATTATATGCTTAGAAAGAGCATAAAATTTTGAAAAATTAGTCTCATCCCACCTCCTACTGAAAATGAAGTATTTTGTCCACTAATAATGGGTTAAAGTTTCCTCTCTATATAAGGAGTTTAAAACAACATTCAGAGGAAAATGCCGAAAACATTCTTAAAGCGAAACTTGAAACTAAAAAACGTAATATATTTCTAGCTCTTAGTGTGGCATATTTATAGATTTGTTTTCGAAACTAAGGAGCAATAAAGAAAGCTTTAACAATATTGTACACCATAGGGCCATTAAAAGAGGTCAATATGATCTTATTTCTAAGAAATAAACGATTTAATGTTATGGCTTTTTGGGCTGATTACTATTTGAGGTGGTGGAGATTACCAATTGAGATGTTGGGTTTGTAGGCTACATGATCACTGGGACGTGCTGCAACTGCTTCCCTGATAGAAAGAAATGAGGCTACATCTATCAAAAATGTTAAGAGTACTCACAACCACTCAAGTAAGCAGGAGGCCGTTGAAAATGCACCTAGCAACCCCCCTCCCCCTTAATCTGCAGGGCAGTGATGGTGGAGCAAGCCAACACCCTCCAGATCCAAATCCCAGCAGCTCAGATCACAGTCAGGAGTTTAATATAGGAGGGCTTACAAATATCTCTCCAGAACTATACTTGAGGAGACTAAACTACTCTGACGTGGATTATTTGTCAGATTTAATTTTTTTTTTTTGCAAATTGTACCATTTACAATATCTAAATATATGTTGACAAAATTTATATGTGTTTGTATCAGTTGACCAAATGTAGTGGGATGAAATGTATCAGTTGACCTTTGGTAACAGTTGACCAAATGTTGTAATTGACCAAATGTAAGGTTGATGAAATGTAAGTTGGCAAAATGTAAATTGAGAAAATGTAAATTGACCAAATGTACCCACTCCCTAAACTGAGGAAGAAAATTGTTGAAATAGAAGGTTTGTCCCGGCTGCACGCTTGGTCTCCTAGTCTGTCCTGCAGCGCTAAGCCCAGAATGTCTTATTGTAACCTAACCCTGAATATACACCAATTTTGTTTAAAGTTGTTGAAATTAAAGGTCTGCATTGGCCACAGTGCTCGGCTCCCTAGACTGACCTAGCGGCAGCGCTAGGCCAAGAAATTGTCCTAACCTAACCTTACCTTCAAATAATACACAATAAACAACCTAGCTGCAGCGCTCAGCCAAGAAACTGTCCTAACCTAACCTAACCCTCAAATAATACAAAATAAACATTTTTTTTGTTAAAAAAAGTTGAAATTTTGGCCATGTACTAAATTGATAGGAGGGGCCGGGGGGCCCAAAATGACAGACATAAAAACAGTTGCGTAAAATTGCCAGCTCATGTTCCATATTTTGAAAATAATAAGCAGCTTATTCAGGGACATATACAGGGGGGGCAGTAGTCCCCTTACTCCCCCCCCCCCCAGGAAATACATATAAAAAAGGGAACTACATTTAAAAAGTAACACTTGACAATAACAAAGGTTTGTCTGTTAATACAAAGTTTCCCCTGAAACCAGGTAGCTTGTGCAGCTACCCAAGTAACAAAAGTGAGGAATTTCCCCAGATTCTTCAAACATGGTGACTTTAAGAATTTCCGAGGAATTTCTTGAGAATCATTTTCTGTAACTGACTCCTTAGAAATTCTTGAGAAATTACCCAGAATTGGTCCCCAAGATGAGAGATTTTTGGGGGGATCACAGTTTTGAGACTCAGTTTCGAGAAATTCCTGAGAAATTCTCCGGAAGAAATTCCTGAGAAATGCTTTGGAATTTTTTCCCAAGAAATTCCTCAGATTTTCTATAAACACTTCTCCAGAAATTCCTGAGAAATTCTTAGGACTTGGACACCATGTGTTTTGGATTTTAAGGGAATTTAATAGAGAATTAGTTTTGAGAAATTACTGGGGGGTTTCTCTGGAATTAATTTTACCCCAAGAAATTCCTGAGAATTTACCTGGAATACTTCTCTGGAAATTCCTGAGAAATTCTTATTACTTGGTCACCAAGTTTACTGATTTTTAGTGGAATTAGATAAGAGAATTAGTTTAGAGAAATTCCTGGGAATTTTTCCAAAAATTTCACCCCAATGAAATTCCAATGATTTTTCTGGAATTTTGGAATACTTCTCTGGAACTTTCTATGAAATTTTTAGGACTTGGTCACCAAGTTACAGATTTTTAGTGGAATTAAATAAAATAAGAGAAGAAGTTTCCAGAAATTCCTGGGAAATTCTCCAAAATTTTGCCCCCAGAAATCCTAAGAATTTTTCTGGAATTTTGGAATACTTCACCGGAAATTCCTGAGAAATTCTTAGGACTTGGTCACCAAGTTTACAGAGTTTTCAGGGGAATTAAAAGAGAATTAGTTTTGAGAAATTCCATGGAATTTCACCCCAAGAAATTCCTGAGAATTTCTCTAGAGTATTTCTCCGGAAATTCCTAAGAAATTCTTAGGACTTGGTCACCAAATTAACAGATTTTTTTGGGGAATTGAATAAAAGACAATTCTACGATTTTTTGGGGGCACAGAATAAAAAACTTTGTTTCGAGAAAGTCCTAAAATTTCTCTGGAATTTTTCTCAAAAAATTTCCAAGAATTTCTCAGGAATATTTCTCCGGAAATTCCTGAGAAATTCTCAGGACTTCATCACAGAATTTCCAAGTTCAGTTTCCAATAGGAGTCTCTGAGGTTCTCTTCTTTTATGCACTGCCCTAACCAAATTTTTTTTTTTTGCATCCTTATTGATAAAAATAATAATTTAACTTTTGAACTATCTTTCAAAAAAATATTTTGAAAACATTGTAATTTTTTATCCATTTTTCTTGACAATTAAGTTGTCTGAATAAACAAAATACATGTCAACTTCAGTAAGATCTATAACGACTGTAACATTCTGACTTAAGAAGATCGCTAAACTTCTAAAAAGTTGGAGGGGCAATATAGGTATTAAGTCATTCACTACTATTGGGCCTAAGTCCTGGTTAGTGAATTTACTCAGGAATATGCAAAGAATATTTCAAGATAATCCTGAGGAACTCTTGATAAAATCTTGGGATAGTTCCCTAGAAATTCCCAGGAATTGGTTCTGAAGAATTTTTCTCTTGAAATTCCCAAGAATTTCCACAAATTTTGTTGACATTTTCTCCGGTTTTTCTGCAGAATGGGTAACAAGAAATTCCCTGGAATTGGTTAAAAGAAATTCCTTGGATAGAGTTATGAGAATATCCTCGGAATGGGTTGCAATTCCTCAGACCTGGTAACGAGAAATTCCTAGGAATGGGTTACAAGAAATTCCTTGAAATAGCTGTCAAAGTTTTCACCAGGATTTCCTGGGAAAGATTCCCAGGAAATATTCATGGGAATTTCAGTGGATTTTCTGTAATATTGTTACTTGGGTCCATTCTGTAGCTATTGAACTTTAAATATGAAAATCGGGATGATTTAAAATGCCATATGATTGACATTAAGCTCAAATCTAAACCATTTTAAGAAAACAGTAATGTTTATGTTTATCTTTCTCCACCTTATGACTCAAATATAGTATTTGATGTATAGAATATGTAAGTTCTCAGGAGCATACATTTTCTTCAATTTTAAACCAAAAATAAACTCTTTCCTTGCAGGAATTACTGAAACTGTATCCCATTTTGCAATAAAGTAGTTAAACAATATCTAATATCTAAAAAATTAGGAACAATATCACAATCCCAAAATAAATGCAGAATGGTTTTAATTGAATTTTGACAGAATGTACAGTTAGCAGTAACTGTGGGGATAAATTTCGAAATGCTTCTATTAGTTTTTAGCATGCCAAGGACAATCTGATATTGCATCCACTTCAATCAAAGAAAATGTCCTTAGCTAATAAATATTTCTTCTCTCATAACTCATTTCCTTGCAATGATCCTAGCTCCGCTTCCCATTTTCTCTCTCCCGACTGTAGGCTTTTTTTTAGAGAAATCAAGACGTTTCAAAAGTTTAACCCAGCAATTACACCCTTGGGATGAACAGTTTATGAGCCTAACTAAAGGAGGTTGGTATGGCACTGTAATATTTAATCTATCAAGTGATAAGGAATCATAAGGAAGTGAAATCTGCAAGAGATATATTTAGCTTTGGCAATCCAACCCATACAACTTGTTTAAGTGAAATATAATGAATTAGATCAATTTCAACATCAAATTAAGTTCTAAATTCCTGCACTGATAAAAAGACTGGACAATTATTCTCAACTTTTATAAAACCTAAAGGATATAACAATGTATCTCACTCCCTCATGTTTATTCATACAATTTATTTTAGATCCCCTTTTACAGTTATTTTAGACCTCTTACTGTAGTTTTAGCTAACTCACGTTAATCGCAGGAATACCTCACTCCATCATGTTTACTCTCAATATGTATTTAAAGAGAACTTGCTGTCAAATTAAAAACAAAAATAATAAGTATGATTGACTATGATCAAGTTAATTATAATTTCAATTATAATTAATTACATTTTACGTAGATTAGTCTTAGGACTAAATTTACCTAGAAAATCGTTCTTTACATCTTCTTCTTTTATAAAACTGTACATGTATCCTCTACAGTAGAGGAGGGAAGGATTTCTTCCTGAATCTCTTCTTTAATCTCAATATTCTCCATCTTTATTCTTTATTTCTTCCTTCAAGTTTGCGGCCATTGTCTCTAAAAACCTTGTTACAAAATATTTACAAAAGGGGGTCAATTATCGTAATCAAATTATTTATATATTATATAGTACAATCAAAAATCCAGGAATAAAAGAAAGCTGAAAAGCAGATATAACAAGAAGGAACTGCAAGAAGGTTGAAGATGTGTGGCCAGTACTAGAAATTATGAAATAAAATCAGTATTTACAAGAATACTTAATTATGTCGAAAACATCTATTTTACACAGGGTGATTAAAAAAAGTGTGATATACAAACGTAAATTAAAAACTGAGAAACAAGTAAAAATTCTCTTAAAGATTATTCGAGATGTAAGCTCTATTAAATAATTTGATTCTTTGGGGGATTGGAAAGTAAAAAGAAAATCTTTTTCTGCTTTTTTAACTTAAAAGATAAAAGTTACTTTTAAAAAATGTGTATAAAACTGAGACCTGGAGACTTTGGGACTAATGGATTCATTCAACCCATTCTTCGTCTGAAACAGACGATATATAATTTTTCAGGCAATTTTCTTATTTCCGTACAATTCTCAAAATGATAAAGAATTTGTATAAAAAAGCTCATGATTTATATTCTCATGGCTTGGTAAGGAAAAAATCATAATATCAAAATTCTTAAACTGAGCAAAGATTTCTCTTAACATGAAGCGAAGGAATGAAAGTTTTTAGAAATATATGAGAAAGTTTGAATTTTCATGTGTCGCTTCATTTTCATCTTTCTCCGCTTCAACTTCTTCACACACATCACATGGACTCAGCATTTTTCTCCAGATTTTCAGAAATCCTGAACATTAAATGTTTATAGTGAAATCCTCAGATTCCACACAGAGGGGAGGAAGGTCAACCACATCAATCTCTAGTCCGAACCACATTCTCATCATTTTCTCGTCCGAACCACATCGAAATCCTTGTTCTTTCAATATTATTTTTTTTAAGTGTCCGATCCTTGAAAATTAATACATTTTTTAAAAATATGGCGACCAGAACACCACACTTATTCATGTTTATTATTGATATGTCTTTTTAAACTATTTGCATCCGTACCAGCGTATTCACATTCATCACAAGGATATCTGACTTCTTTGTGTTTATTCTTGATATGTATTTTCAAATTATATGAGTTTGTTGCAGCGTGTTCAAATTTATCACAAGGATACCAACCACACTTCACTCCCTCATGTATACTCTTAGTGTGGATTCTGAGATTACGAGCTGTAGTTGCTATGAACTTAAAATTAACTCATGGATGTATTGCTTTCTTATGATCCTACCAGCAGAGGATCCTGATCCTGATCCTGAGAACTCTTGTATGTTTACAATATATTGTATGTTTACTTTTCATGCGTGTTCTCAGAAGAATTAAATATTTTGTGGAATATTCACATATATCACAAGTAAACTTCTTTACATCTTGTTTTCTTTTTTTTACCCATGACACAAACAGCAGAGGATCCTCTTTCTGTTTCACAATTTCTATAAACATTTCTATTTAAAAATTAATTTGTGAAAATAATAGATTTTATATTTTGAATTGAAACCACAAGAAAAATTAAAACGAAATATTCCGTTAGAGCAAATAACAGACTAAGCATTTAAATTACACTTTTATTCACTATAAAAAACTGATCATCAATCCAATTTTAAGAGTATTTAACATATATTATTCTCTACACAGGACCAAGATATTTAAAATGATAATTGGTAAATGGTAAAGTATCAAAAATGGTTTGGGTGAAATACATCTTTTTATATAAAAATATATTCAAATAATTAAGTAGTTGCCCAACGAATTTACGTTCGTATGCCGCGGTGCATTACAAGAAAGAGAAAGATTAGTATTTATTTTAGGTTCAGGTTTGGTTATGACACTTTCTGGACCGAACGCTGGGGCAAAGACAGTGCGGCGGCTAGGACAGGAAAGGGGCCGAGCGCCGCGACTAGAACAGGCTCTCTCTCTGTCTTAAAATTCAACGTGGCATGCGAAGGTAACTTGGGTTTCTGCCAAATAATTAATACCTTGATCTCCAATGTTTTCTATCTTGACATCTTCTTCCTTTACATATACAGTACATGTATCTTCTACAGTAGAGGGAAATATTTCTTCTTCAATTTCAAACTCTTTTCCCTTCACAACGTTTTCCTGTACATTTATAGTACCAGTGTAGTGTAGTTATCCGAGCTGACCGGACGTGTCTTTGTGAGCTCCCGGATTAAACTGACCGACAACCCAACACCGGGTTAACTTATTCACATGCTCCATATTATGTGAAAACACAAACACTCAGATAACTTGTTTAGTGCATTTATTTCCAGTAAAAAATATTTCTACTAGACTCAAAATGACTGACACAAAAATAGACATGGGTCTTATAAGCGATTTAGTAAAAAAATTGGAGAAGTTGGAGAATTCGAAAGAAAGCGAAGGGTCTGAATGGAGTAAAGTGCAAGGAAAGGATAGAAAAGCAAAGATGAAAGTTAAGGGAGGGATTGTTGATGCAAAGATAGATCCAACAGATCTAAACTCTGTTCTNGCCAAGAGCTATTTTCCACCTAATTGCTTTATACTTGTACTGTTAATATAATCATCAATTTTGTGATTGTAAACTCTATCTGTATACAGATACATTTATTTTAGCAATAAACGTTATCTTATCTATCTTATCTTGTATCCTCTACTGTAGAGGGAAATATTTCTTCTTCAATTTCAAACTCTTTTCCCTTCACAACGTTCTGCTGTACATAAACAGTACATGTATCCTCTACAGTAGAAGTTGGAAGAATTTCTTCCTTAAAGAAAAAAGTTTCTTCTTTTATTTTCTCATTTTCTCCGCCATTCTATCTGGAATTGATACATGATTTAGATAATTTAAAATTGGCTAAATTAGAAAAAAATCTTTTTAGAAATTTAAATCGATTAATGCAAATAAAGAGATTTGACTTAAAACAAAGCCAAATATAATGTTGACTAAAATTGAATACAAACATTGGCATAAAAAGTATCACTATGCATTTATACATTTTAGAAATCGTTTTCCATGATCAAAATATATTGAGTAATCTTAAAAAGTCGTCGCATGATTTTTAATTTAAATCTTAATTTTTTTATCAATTATGAATATTAATATTAGAAATTTGATCATCTGCGGAAACACCCAGGTATTTATATAATTTTATATTTTAATGAATCAGGTTGTAACATTGGCATCACTTCCATCACTACGGGTTTTTAATTGAAAAGAACATATTTTGAAAACAGGAGAACTTGAGGGGTTCACACTTTTTTATGATTACCTTCAATATGTCTGATTAACTACCTGCAGTAGTTACTGCGTACTCACTGCATACTCATTCCTTCATGTTTATTCTTTTTATGATTACCTTCAATATGTCTGATTAAACTACCTGCAGTAGTTACTGCGTACTCACTGCATACTCATTCCTTCATGTTTATTCTCTTTATGCATACTAAGATGAATTCTTTCAGTAGAAGCGAACTCACATTTATCACAAAGGTATCTTTTGAGGGTACTCTTAATATGTCCTGTAAGTTGACTTGCTGAAGTCCTAGCATATTCACATTTATCACAAGGATATTATATGGCTTCTCAGGACACTAAGTGAATTATCAAAGGGATGTCTCACTCCTTCATGTTTATCATGTTTCTGCATTATACAATCAGAAGTTCGTACTGCCACAGAATTTCTTCTGGAGGGTTTGGTTAGGCTTAGGACTATCAACCCTGGTTGATCAAGAACTTCAACTCCTTGATACTTCTGCAGACCCACGTCCTTCGGACCAGCGACAAAACCCAGCTATCACATATTAACCACTTCTATCCAGAATAATTCACATTAAATCTCAGTTTAATTATACCTAAAATGGCCATCCTAGAGTTTGGTGAGAAGAAATTAATGATTTTAATTAACAATATTATCCTGTTTTACATTGTTTTCCTTGTTTATGCTCTTTATGCTTTGTTAAAACCTGAATTACAAAGTAAAATAAATAAAATATTGATAATGTGGTTAAATTTGTATAAATAAAATTTTCCAAATTAAAATATAATTATTTGTACGAAAATTAAAAAACCACTAAAATAGAAATAATGTAATAAAAATTTGAAAATATAATTTTCAATCAAAAATTGTCGAAAAGGAATTAGATCGTGAGGAAATTCAAAAAACCAATTTTAAAAATCTACAATTAAAACAAACAAAATGGGATTTTTATTATAATCTTATTGAGGGCGGACCAGCCGCCTTCTTTGAGAATGATGTTTATTCCCAATATGTATTTTAGGACTAGCTGCTGTTGTTGCTGCTTACTCACATTTATCACAATGATAACTCACTCTAATATGTTTAATTTCAATATGCCGTTTTAAATTAACTGAATGCGAGGCAACATACTCACATAAATCACAGGGATATCCTTCTTCATCATGTTTACTGACATGTCTGCTTAGATGACTTTTAAGATTATTCGGTTTAGTTGCAGTATATTCACATTTATCACTCCTTCGTGTTTATTCTTGATTTGTTCTCTAAGATTACTTTGGCTGGTTGCAGAAACTCACATTTATCACATGGATATCTCACTCCTTCTAGTTTCCTCTTCTTGGTTGTCTTTGATCCAACCAGCAGAGGATCCTCTTCATTGAGAACTATTGCACCTAAAATAAACATTTTATTTACCTAGTATAATCTTTTTTGAATATAGCAGAAAAAATATTAATATTTTTACCTTGGATTCCAGTATTTTCAATCTTGACATCTCCCTGTACATATACAGTACATGTGTTCTGTACAGTAGGAGTAATTACTTTATCCTTGATATAAACCATCTCCTTCTTCAACTCACACTCTTCCTCCTTTATACCTTCTTCATGTACATATACAGTACATGTGCTCTCTACAGTAGAAGGAGTAAATTCTCCATCCTTGATATAAACCATCTCCTCCTTTAACTCACACTCTTTCTTTTTTTTCCTTCTCCCTGTACATAAACAGTACATGTGTTCTCTACAAGAGGAAGGAAAGAGTTCTTTTTCTTTTAAAACTGTCACTTTTTTAATCTCAAACTCTTTTTTCTTTAATTCTTCTCTCTGTATATAAACAGAACATGTGTTCTCTACAGTAGAGGAGGGAGGGATTTCTTCTTCCTTGAAAACTGTCTATTCTTTCATCTCAAACTCTTCAAGATTAATTTCTTCTTTGCTTGCCTCCGCTATTCTTTCTGGAAAGAGCATAAAATAAAATAAATGAAAAAAGAAAAGAACAGATTGAATGCAAAATAGGATAAAATAAGAAATGAGAGAACGAGAAAAAATAACAGATTAAAAGTAGAACAACAAAATAAAGAAGTTATAGATTTAACATTTATATTTCTGTTGTAGTCTTTTCTTAATCGGGGAAATGATGAATACAATTTCAGTTGGTCATCTTTCAAACAATTTCAGATTTCGCTGGGTCACTAACATCTTTTGGTGGAGGAGGGTACTGGGAATATCTTTGGTGAGTCATTAAGAAATTAGAAAATAGATTTAATTTAATTTGTTTTACAGAGTACGAAGAAATTGAAAAATTAGATACCTTCATCTCCAATATTTTCCATCTTGACATCTTCTTCCTGTGCATAAACAATACATGTATCCTCTACAGTAGAAGGAGTAATTACTTCATTCTTGTTTGAATCCATTAAATTATTCTCAAACACTTCTTCTTTTATTTCTTCCTTCATGAAAAAGGTCTCCATTATTTTATCTTTAATTATCTCCGCCATTCTATCTGAAATAATGACTTTAAGAGTTGGAAGAACATTTTAAAGATCAAGACATTGACACATATTAAGGATAAATTGGCCTTATTAATTTTTAAAGTAAAGATTTAAATTAGTTCGTATATAAAAGAACAAATCATATGAAAATAATATGCCGCCAACATATTAGCATATTCACATAAACCACACGAATATCTATTTCAATCAACCTTCAATCCGAGCATGTGTTCTAAGATTGCTTGTTGTAGTGCAGCATAATCAAATTCATCAGATTCAATTATTACAACAATTTGTATTATTCATATCTGTTCGGTTCCATAGTAGTAAACATATCGTGTAAGAATTCCCATTATTACACGGTTCAGGAGGAACAATTTTAATATTGTTCCCTCCCTTGCGTTTAAGAATGCTTATTCTTACACTGTAGGTGTAGAATTTTCATTCTTTAACGCTCAGATCGTGTAAGAATGGAAATTATTACACGGTCAGAGCGTGAAAGAATGTATATTCTTACACGCTCCAAGCATTAAAGAATGGAAATTCTTTCACTAGTTGAAGAATATTCATTCTTACACGCTCCTTAAATTGATCTTTTCAGTATAGATCAATATTGATATTAACTTAATTATTTTGTACTGACAACATGCACAGGGCAAACTCACCTTTTTCTTTTACATTAATACATGCAAACTTACCTTTTTTAACTTAAAAACAACATGCTCACTTACCTTTTTCTTTTACATTAATACATGCAAACTTACCTTTTTTAACTTAAAAACAACATGCTCACTTACCTTTTTCTTTTATATTAAAACATGCAAACTTACCTTTTTTACTTTAGTAAAACATACTCACTTACCTTTTCATGCTCACTTACCTTTTTCGTTTTTTGAAGTATTGATATACCTTAATTCAGAAATATCAATTTGAATCTCAACCCTAGTCCTGACAGAAGAGTGGAAATCAACATTTTCTGACCTTTCCCAAAAATATGGACGATGCTTTTAGCCTTACATTAGACACTTTCATCAAACTGCCGAGTCTCAAAGCATACTGCCCACTGCCTACTTATTATTTTTTTTAGTTCATCTTCATTTCAAACCAAGTTTGGTGAGATTTTGCAAATCTCTGCATACTTGTAATAGTATGGTCATGAATAAAATACAAAGATCTTCATCAGTTCATGTCGAACTGATTCTGATTCTTACTAGATAACCTGCTTTTATCTCCTCTTTTTGAAAGATTTAGGATCTAATATCCAGAAAATGATTTCTTCTATAAATGAAGACACGATATTGTTCAGTAGATTAAGACAACCCACTACTATACCTTCTCTCCATCTAAAAAAACTCAGGGCACATTTAACATGCTGTATCTAAATGTAGTATCAACTTAAAAAACGAGCAAAATCATTAGAAATTGTTAAACAAACAAAGAAACTAAACTAAGGAAACAATCACACCACATGCATTAATTTCAAACTAAGAACCAATTTTTACTTCTAAAATGGTTTTTTTTTACATTTTAACATTAGAAAAATAAAAAAACAGTGATAGTCAGAACAAGAGCATAAAACTTATTTGCAACCTCTCATAATGTGAACTGTTCCAACTTGAAATAGTCGGATTTCACCAAAATTATTTTTTAATATAATTTCTCGGGTATGTGCCCATGGAACCTCACAAATATGATATAATAATAATCTATTGACATTTCCAAACTATTTGATGTATTTATTATCAACCAACTATTTCACAAGGATATCTCACTCTTTAATGTTTGCTCTCAATGTTAACATATTCACATGAATCATATGGATATCTTACTCAATAACACAATCAATCTTTAATCCTAATATGGGTTCTTAGAATGCTATTTTTAGTTGCAGCGTACTCACATCATTGCAAGGATTATTTATTACCTGGATATTATACTCCTTTATGTTTACTGTTAACATGCATTTTTAAGATGCTTAAATTAGTTGCGTTGTGCTCACATGTATTACAAGGATTTTTCCCTCCCTAGTGTTTAATCTCAATATGAATTAAAAGATGATTTTCTTGAGATGCAACATATTCACATTTATTGCAAGAATATCTTAAACCCTCATGTTTGATCTCAAAATGTATGCTAAGATGACTTAGTGTAGCTGCAGTAAACTCGACACATTCATCACATGGATATCTTAATCCTTCATGTTTACTTTTGATATGCAAACTAAGATTCCTTACGGTAGTTGATACAAATTCACATTTATCACATTGGTATCTCACTTCTTCATGTTTACGCTTAATATGTCCTCTGAGATTACGTTGGCTGCTTGCAGAATACTCACATTTATCACATGTATATATCACTCCTTCATGCTTATTCTTGATATGTCCTCTGAGATTACGTTGGCTGCTTACAGAATACTCACATTTATCACATGTATATATCACTCCTTCATGCTTATTCTTGATATGTTCTCTGAGATTACGTTGACTGCTTACAGAATACTCACATTTATCACATATATATATCAGTCCTTCATGTTTATTCTTGATATGTTCTCTGAGATTACTTCGGCTGTTGGCCGAATACTCACATTTATCACATGGATATTTCACTCCTTCATGTTTATTCAATATATGTTCTCTGAGTTTACTTCGCCTGGTGGCCAAATACTCACATTTATCACATGGATATTTCACTCCTTCATGTATATTCTTGATATGTCCTCTGAGATTACTTCGGCTGGTGGCCAAATACTCACATTTATCACATGGATATTTAACTCCTTCATGTTTATTCAATATATGTTCTCTGAGTATACCTCGGCTGTTGGCCGAATACTCACATTTATCACATGGATATCTCACTCCTTCATGTTTAATCTTAATATGTTCTCTGAGATTACTTCGGCTGGTTGCAGAATACTCACATTTATCACATGGATATCTTACTCCTTCTAGTTCCTCTTTTTGGTTATCTTTGATCCAACCAGCAGAGGATCCTCTTCATTGAGAACTATTTCACCTAAATCACAGAGGGTGACTCAAAAAAAACGGGGAATAAGGATCTACAGACTCGTTTGTATTCGGATGAAAAATAAAATGAAAAGTAAAAACATCAATGTAATTAAAAGCAACAAAAATAGATCAAATGAACATAAAACAGTCAAAATGATCAAAAAAAATTTATAAGAAAAAAGTTAATTTAAACTATATTTCAAATTAACAAAAAAAATAGTTCAAATGAAATAATGAAGATAAAAAAACATTAAAATACTTACATATGCAAAAAAAGGTTCAAAATAACAAAAAAAAAGTTCAAATGAACATTAAGCTAAAATGAAGAAATAAAATAGTTCAAATGAAATATTGAAGGAAACAAATCGTTAAAATAGTTAAAATAGGCAAAAAAAAAATAGTTCAAAATAACAAAAAAAATAGTTCATATTGACATTTTAAAAATTTAAAGGATGAAATAAAATAGTTCAAATGAAATAAAATTCAAATAAACAAAAAATAGCTCTAATGAAATATTGGAAAAATTATAAAATAAGTTCAAATGAACAAGTTCCAATGAAATAGGTGTACGTGAAATGAATAAAAATAAACAACTAGATATTTTGATTTTGATCTTACCTTTAGTTTCAGTATTTTCCACCTTGACATCTTCCTCCTTTATATAAACTTTGCATGTTTCCGCTTCAGAAGGGGATGGAAGGATATCTTCTGGAATCTCTTCTTTAATCTCAATATTTTCAATTTCCATTTCCTCCTTTATAATTCCAGCCATTCTTTCTGAAAATTGTCATTTTAGAATTTACTAAAATCATCAAATCAATCATCAAATCAAATCAAATCAAACATATATATTGGTCTCAAGCATGTACATATAGAAAAAAAATATATTTTTAAATATATTTATAAAACTTGAGACAGGGGGCATTGATAGCCAGGGGGTGCTTAAAATGCAGCCCCACACTGGAGAGTCAGTTCAAGCAATTATGCTGACTTGAAGAGGTGATGCTAGAGATCATGCTGCTTATGGGATGGAATGATTAAAATATAAGAATTAAGATCAACTTAAAAAGTCCGCGAAACTTGGCAAGAAAATCCACAAATCATATAAAATAATTGTTGCACATAGAAACTCTCAGCTGAATATACATAAATAGAATACTAAAGTAAAGATGGGCGAGAGGAAAAAGAAAAGTTCAAAAACTTCAGCAAAGATTACGAATTCAAGAAGTGTCCCCTCATTGTCTATTTTAACCACCTGAGGTTGGAGAAATGTTAACTTCATCGATGTGAACACACAACTCCTATACATCAATAAGAGAAGAAACAGATAGATGCTGCACTTGAAGTGCAGCACTTCTTTTCCAAGATCACCATGACAATCATTAAGGTTAAGGAGGGAACCAATTTTAAGGCCGCAATATTTGAAGAAAAGTCAAGTGTTTTTATATAGTGTATCTAAATAAAAATATTCGTCCAAAAAAAAGATATCTAAAAAATAAATTCCAGTTTAAAGTAAAATATGAGAAAATACTAGAAAATATTAGAAACTGCATGAAAAAAAATGACGAAAATAGAAATTAAAAACTGGAACGGATTAAAATTATTGTATGTATATGTGTGCGCTATTTAATAATTTAAGTTATTTTATTGGACGGTGAATCTACTTGCGAATCAAGCAAGTGAGAAAAAATAAGAGGACCTTGTGTTCAGGCCTTCTGCTTGTATTGCAATATGCTTAAATTTATTACGAGTATGTTTATTGTTTAATTTCTTTATGTTTACTCTCAATATAAATTTTAAGATCACCTACGAGTTGCAGTGTGGTACTGGTCACATTTATTTCAAGGAAATAATACTCCTTCATGTTATTTACAATTTGTTTTTAGAGAAACTTGGGCGACTCACAGATTACTCACATTTATCACAAGGATATCCCACTCTAATTCATATTTACTTGCAATATGTCTTTTAAGATCCTAAACAGTAGTTGAAGTGAATTCACATTTATCACATGGATATCCCACTCCTTCATATTAACTTGAAATATGTTTTTTTAAGATCCTGAACAGTAGTTGAAGTGAATTCACATTTATCACATGGATATCCCACTCCTTCATATTTACTTTAAATATGTTTTTTAAGATCCTGAACAGTAGTTGAAGTGAATTCACATTTATCACATGGATATCCCACTGCTTCATATTTACTTGAAATATGTTTTTTTTAAGATCCTGAACGGTAGTTGAAGTGAATTCACATTTATCACAAGGATATTCCACTCCTTCATATTTACTTAGATCCCTTACTGTAGTTGAGAGTGATCACAAAAGAGTGAGATATCCTTGTTATAAATGTGAGTACGTTGCAAATATTTTGCAAGTTCTGAAAAGACACATCAAGAGTAAACACGAAGGAAAAAGATATCCCTGTGCTAAATGGGAGTATTCTGCAACCAGGCAAAGTTATCTTAAAGAACAAATTAAGAATAAACACGTAGGATCCCTGTGATAAATGTAAGTATTCTTTAACCAGTCAACGTCATATCAGAGAACATATTGAGAGTAAACATGTAGGAGTGAGATATCCACGAGATCAACATAGATTTTAAGATTACTTCTGGGAGATGAAATGTGTTTACAATCGTCACAAGGATATCTCACTCCTTCAAGCATTCTTATAATATGCTGCTTTAGATCATATCCTCTTGGTGCCGTATACTTACATTTATTTCAAAGATATCTTAATCCTTCGTGTTTGCTCTCAATATTAATTTTAAGAGCAATTGGTGTAGTTGCAGTGTGCTCCCATTTATCACATGGATATCTTATGCTTTCTCATTCGTGGTTATACTTAAAATGTGGTCTAAGACGACCTTCCAACGGTGCAGTGAAGTTACATTGGATGGTGTATTTTTGGACCTACGCCCATCCCCTCTACTGCCCATCCGACCTACGAGCACGTGGTTTTAACAGCTGTGGTAGGTCCGATGCACTGTAGGTCGGATGGGCACGTTAAAAACAGCATATTGGTGCATCCGACCTACTTTAAGCTGTCGCTTGGACACGTTAGTAGGTCTGATGGGCCTTTTTCATAGGTCGGATGGGCAT